CGTGGGCCAACCGTATTGGCGCTTTGTCTGCCCTGGGGTGTGCTAGGGGCCGTGATCAAGGTGAGAGTGGGTTATGTGCGTACGCATTTACATGCGCATGTGCATGTACGTATCTGTACATGTAAGTGTGTCCCCATATGTAAATTCATGTATCGAAAACGAAAACTACCCAAGGCTGCGCGCTGGAATGAGTCAAAATTAAGAACCTTTCCGCAGAGAACGAATCCGCGCCCATTGACCCGTTCCGCACTTTTTTCCGTCGCATGCAGGTGCCTGCAAGGTCTTTGGTTGATAGCTGTTTCGCCTACAAGTCACCTCAAAAATGGGAATGACGGCGGCGGGGACCTTCTAGATTGTGCGGGTGGGTGTGTGTTGTCTGAGTCTACTCGGCTACAAAGTCAGGATTAAGGGCCAGGGTTGAGAGCAAGGCCGCTGTCGGTGAATGCCTGCGAAGGCATCGACTCGAATTGGGAGTTGTCCAGAACTGGCTAATATGGTAATTTACCAAAATAGGGGGACCCCAATATAGACCCCAAAATACTATAGTCCTTATTATTGGGACCCCCAACATGGTACCCCTAATTTTGGGAAACCCCCATATCCTCTGCACAGATCAGGGTGTAGGGCTTGGTTGTCTTGCAAGTCTGAGCTCTTCAAGACCATGACAGGTTGCACTTTGGTACGGCTATGCACAACCCACACACGCGTAAAGTGTACGTACGGAGCCACTGAAAGGCCTCCTTAAGCACTCAGGATGATGTGCAACTAGAGTGCAGGCACGAGCTAGATGGAATGTCGTGCTGCCGTACGTGTCATTCTTCCGAAGAACCAGATGCAGCAGGATGTGCGGAAGAAGGGCCACGCGATAAGCAACTTCTAAGGACAAGTGAGTACATAGCAACACAGGACTCCTGCCCTTAGTACTGGCAATATCTTAAGCTCTCCTTGGTTCTGGACGCTGGAGCCTCCAGGAGGAAAAAGCTCACGTGCTCGTTAGGCAAGCTTGTGTAGCTCAGAAGACCGCTGCCACAAGAAGCCCATGCAAAATGGGTCGGTGCTAGGACCTATGCTCCTGGAAGTGGCAGTGCTGATGACGCAGGCTGCTTCTTATACAACCATGGCTAAGACATGGTGAAGCCAGGTTCAAAAATAAAACACTCAAGAAACAAAAAGGTGTCTACCAAGACCTTCCTTGTACCCTTAATTGGGGATATATGGTCCCTAATAGTAGGTACTTAGGCCCTAATAGAGGGTAGGAGGGGGGTCTAGGTATTTGCATTCGGAAACATTCATCTGTTTTCTGTAGACTTTGTTTCGGACGAAGGAAACCCAAATACCCCTCTTGCTATCGTAACGCCTTCTTGCTTGCTCCTTGCATCTGCAGGGATAAATCCCTCCATAAATTTCCACCATTTGGGGAGCAGTAATTTGGGCCAAGTTTTACGTGCTAGTCCGAATTGCACGTGGCTGGGCTTTGGCCTACGGTGCCGATAAGCACTCCAGGAACGTCATCCCTCTGTGGATTCATTCCTTATCACTACAAGCCAAGCTCTTTTGGCACCTGATAGGGTAGTTTCCCTAAATATGGGGACCCCAATATAGACCCCAAAATAATATATTCCTTATTAGAGGGACCCCCAAAAGGGGTACCCCTAATTTTGGGAAACCCCCATATCTCCCAACATACATCTTCACATGCAACTAACTCAAGGCAGTAAGCAGAAATCCCTGTTTGCAGGTTAAAGGAGGTCGTTAGGAGGCAGCACATGAAAAAAGAGAAGCCCCAGTTGAGTCAGTTCCACCCCGGAGCTTTTGCAATACCATGATAAAATTGTTTTAATCGGTATTCGGCCCAGGTATACATAAAAATGTAAAATGTTGGCCTACAGAACAAAGACACACTGTACCCTTTGTGTTGCGTATGGCACACTTCCCGAAACCGTACTCAGACTACCACATTAGGGCAAATTTACAAATGGTGCGGCCATGGGCTTCTAGAGCACAGAGGTCGACGAAGCGGTGCATATTTTTTTTCGGGAAAATGGAGGAGAGCAACATCTCTGTTTGGGGGACTTTGGGTTTGGGACTTCGGCTTTTGGGAACCACTGATACAGCTTCAGGATTCAACGGGACAAGTTTCCCTAGACTACCTTGCGTCCACATACAGGTTGATACCCTCCTGCCTCTTGGCAGGGACCCTTCACAAATAAAGCTTCCGAGCACCTATGTAGACGCGACCTTTGTGCATCTACATCATCATAGTCCACAAAATAATGCCCGAAAGAAGTAAGAAGTCCTGTATCAAGGATTGCCCAGTATCGCTGAAGCTTGGTTTAAGGTTTCAGCTTGGTACACGTCTAGATGCGTGCCTGTAATCCTTAAAAGAAATCCATGCGAATCTTCTCAGCCGGGTTGGGGTTTGTTATAGTATAGTATACTGGGGTTATATAAATATAGGCATAATGGAAAAGAACATGGAAACTACTATTTCAGGTTTAGGGTTTTAGCCTTTCGGTTTTGTTTGGCGCCAGTCCTGCATTTGCTCTCTTCCGCTCCCTGTCCTTTCCCTGGGCAGTATGTCCGGGTGTAGACGACGAGTCGCTTGAGAAAGCCTATCTGATTTTAGCAGACCAAAGCTCGATTGATCAATTAACGGGACCCTACTGTAATGGGAACCCCAAACAGGGAACCCCAAGAATGTAGTAGGAATATAGTAGAATACAAGGATCCTGGTGGGTATGTTCCCTGTTTTGGGGTTCCCATTAAAGTTCCTTTATCAATGTGCTGATGCCTTGGGCCAAGAAAATTTTAACCATCCCCCAGTGCGCTGAACAGTCTAGACTCGTAGGCTTAGGAGGAAAGCTCTTTCACGTGAGCTCCTCTCTCTTTCACACGCCACTTGCTTTGCCAGAATCTGGTCATGTGAGAGCGTAGAGGGTCAGCGATTTTGAGCTTGATGCCGTATCCCCCCATGCTATCTCCCGGAAGTATCGTGCTGCACATTGCAGGAGCATCAAAAATTCCCAGCAATTCCTGAATCATTGATGAGTTGAGTCCCTGAATCCGACTCCAACCCATATACGCCATGTTCCATCTACTTAAGGGGGACTATAGCTTTGCATTTGCAAGCCACCAGCTGTTGCCCAGCTACAGGCTGAATCCACCCAGGACAAGCTGAGCTACAGTATGGCAATTTCCAAAAAATCACGGGCCACAAAGGTGTCCCAGAAACATGGGGATGCTACAGTGTCTGGGGACTCCATAGAAGAACCCCCCCTCCCCTATTTTTTGGAAACTCCAGTCTCAGAGACTGCTTCACACGTGCTCCTGCGCATATCTGCACGTCAAAAGCTGTGGTAAACTGCAGACCAGGTAAGCTTTGCATGTAAATGCCACCCTGTAAACCCTACCACCTATATTTCAGACAGGAATGGTTTCCTGCATTGCGCCTGAAGATAATCACAAACTAGAATCACTGCATGTCAAGAAAGCTTGCTAGGACTCGCAGTTTGCCTAAACACTGGCCGCTAGAGGTACCCAGTTGGATGGATTTCTCATATCCCTATATGGCATAGACCTGTCAAACTTGCACATCTTGGCGTCTTCAGGTGCTGAACTTACCTGCCAAGCTCGTAGTGATTTGCATACATCATGCGCCGCGGGCACTGTGTGTAAACCGAAGGCTTCGACTCTAGACCGATGGGCGTTTGCCCAGAGCTTTGTCTCCGATTGCAGGGAGTGCAGCTGCCATCAGTTTGTTGGCCAAAGTCTATATTAATATGATACGGAGTTGGCTATAGTGTCACCCTTAACGCCGTTACATCTCCTAACTATCTTACTTGGAGGGTCAGGGAAACTAAGTAAGCATACTTAAACCCCTATAACCCATGTAATTACCCCCGGATACCCCAATTATTGAACAATTTACTAAGTCCATGTGAAGTAGTACAACCCAAAGCCGCAAGCCTGACACCGGACAATCTCCATATGAACACTTGGTACATGGTCATTCCGAAGACCCTGACCGCTGGGCGTCGAAAAAAATCATAACCAAGTTTGAGATACTGGCTATATATACCCATTGCGGTAATATTAGGATTGTAGTGGGATAATGGAAAATAAATAGAAACTACTAAAATCGGTTATGTAGGGGTTGTAAGGTATATATGTAGATGTATTGGAATTGTATTGGGGCCCGGCCGAGTATCATATGAGGGCAGTGCTGCCGGGATACTATCCCTAGTCCACTTAAGTTTCAGCAGGAATCGCTGAAGGTTCATCCCAAACCCTAAACCCTAAACCCTAAACCCCCAACCCAACCAGCCCCAGGTTGACCAAACCCCTGGCTTATACCAAGGCATTTCTGAGAGCATCTGCAACTCCCTGGACTTCTTCGCCGCCAACAAGAAGCTCCTTAGCTTCACATCTTGTTTCGGGCCCAGAAAGATTTACCACGACCCAGGTGTGGACCCCAGGAGAGGAATCCAGCGCCATATTGGAGACTGTTCTCAACGCACGGTTTCAGTCTCTAGGATTGGTGCTAGCACTGCGTTGGGTTGATAGCTCAGGGTGACTGCAATCTTGTGGGATGAGAATACCCAACCTCACAGATGGCCTGTTTCGCTGAAGATGTGAGTCGTAGAGCTGGTCTTTTGCGTCCATGATGTATGCAAAAGGTCTGAAACTTCTTCCACATTTGGACAGCAAAAAATCTGAAATGTAAGTTCTATGCAAAGATCCAGACACTTGGCCGGGTTCCCTGGTATGATCCTGAAGTCTATTGCAGAATCGCCTGGGAATCACGAAGTTGTTCTTATCCGTTGCTTGGGAAGAAAAGGTTGAAATGTGGTACAATCACCCAACATCAACATGAGGGTTTCCCATAATTTGGGGACCCCAATATAGACCCCAATATACTTCAGTCCTTATTATAGGGACTCCCAAAAAGGTACCCCCCCAATTTTGGGAAACATCAACATGGACAAGAGACTGCTCTTGCCTTAGGCGTCCTTGTCTTTCTCTCGGAGGGCTGCCTTGCAAAGCAGTGATCTTGGGGTCTTCACTGCCTCCTTGCATGAGACGCCTCACTGCTTCTGAGATGTATGTATAGGGTGATCTCTTATAGACTGAATATACTCTAGCCCTTCCGCCCTTACTGTAGGTGCCCCCAAAGAAGAGAACCGTAATTTCTGCAAGCCTCCACCTACATGGTAAGCTGAGCTTGGGGGTCTGAGCTGAAACAACTAGCCAATCTTTGTGGCTAAGAACTTGTGAGTCACCAGGTGGTGTCCTGGGCTGCCATCCTGGAGCCAAAGGCAAGAATATTGGAATTAGATTTTATATGAATACTAATTGTGCTGATACTGTTATTCGGCTGCTACCTGCTCGGAATATCAGCCTAATATAACCTGATAACTTATGACTGTGACGCCTCAAAAGTTTATGGACCAATGTAACTCCAAGAACCGGAAACATGAACACTTGGTAGCAATCAGGGCCCTGATCCCGCCGAAAAACACGTTGTCAGTACCTTCAACCCTTTAAAAACCTACGCGGGGAGCTCCTGCGAAGTGCTTCTGCCAATGAATTTGAGAATCTCGTCAATAAGAATGACCTCGTCACAGCATTAGGTTTGGGAGCTCAGCCAGGGGGGCATGACACATAACACGGGAGTCGCCACTGACGGTGAGGATCATGCTTGCCGACTAGCATAGCTTGCCCGCCTGGTTATGTAAAACTAAGTCATGTTCGGGGAGATTTCAAAAGAGGTAAGAGCCTCAACGTGACACTCGTAAATCCTGTGGCGTCGTTTTCGTCCCAAACTTCCACTACTACTTCTAGTGACCAAATGACAAGCGAGCACATCTTGCAGGCAACTGAAAGTAGCAACAACGACCCTGTAGTAGTAATCTCGGACTTTTCAGCCTGGCTTTGCCTCAATTTACCGGGCGCGGCGTGTTGACAGAAGGTTGACAGACGTGCTTTCTGGCCTGCGCTGAATGCAATCTAAAGCCCTGAACCTCCATAGGACCTTGCGAACGAAAGAGACTGCAGCAAAGAAATGCCTTCATGTGCACATAAGGGCGATTATGGCCAACGCCTTGAAATAAGATTTTTGAGTGTTTGTCTCTCCAGGGTGCTCCGACATTAGCATCCTCACACCTTGCAGGTGCGCATGGTCAGAAGAAATATAACACCCTAACCACACAAAAGGTCCTCCCACACCCTAAACCCTAAATCTCGAGCCCTCAACACCAGTTTTCTAACCAGGGCTTCCATGCGCAACCCCCTCTATTTCCTGCTCTCTGATCTGTTCTGTGACAGTGGAGACCTCCAGCAGAAAACGGCTGACGGTTTGCAGACGACCCAAGCACTGTAGTCTCCTTGGACCCATAATGGAAATATCATGTTTAATCATTCCGTAGGGTCATACTAGAAGAAAGATCAAAAGTACAATCCTAAGGAGACTACAGACTACTATCCCGAATCCCAAATCTGCTTCATCTGTGTATCGCTGCCAGCGAGAGGCGGGGAATGAGAAAGCCAACACCAGCAACCAATCGTGCCTGAGGAAGCAGCCACGACGGTAGGGCCATTACATGAGCCATAGTCTAAACTCCAAGCATCCCCGTTAATATATCCTATAGTACTGCCCTATGTAATCCGGCATATATATTTCATTTTAGGGAGATTAGACTGTAGCTCACATAGGGTTTGTTGTGGGTCACAGGAGCTGCGAGGTTGCTTACATGCCGTTTTCAGTAATCTACCCCACGCGCGGTAGCTAAGAATCCTGCAAGGGAACAAAAGTGCCCGCAATGGCCTCGACACGCTTGGAATCTGAGATATGTACTAGAGCAACACCCCCGGTCATCAAGTTAACACCATTACTCTGGCTGTGAATACAATGTACCTTCGCACACCTTCACTCAGGGCGTTGTATACGCCCATCACCCTCCCAATCATGTCGTTTGTGGCTTTAGCTGACTTTGGCTTCCACTCTGAGCAGGGAGGGCTGCGGACTTGCTTCTGGTTGTGCAGGTTGGGAGGACGGCTATACACAAATTACCAGGCAGAGAAGCAGAGATGGGGAAAGCCTTGGCAATGAGGCCACTCCTACCAGATAATGTAGACCCATGATTCATAAACCCCCTCCTTTTCAGGGCCTAAATACTAGGATCTGTATTAAGGGGAGGGGGTCTATTAATTAGGGGTCCACACTACCCCTCACAACTGTTCCTGGGTTTGCGTGTCTCTTGAAAGATACGGACTCTCAACATTCCATGCAGCGAATGGGAAACCATTCGAGGAAAAACATAAGTCGTAGAGGGAAAGACCAACAGAGACTGAACAAGATTGGCAAATTAGCCCTGATAACGTAGTAGTTTCCAGTTTCTCTTCCATTATTCCTATCAAACCCCAACCCTAAACCTTATATTGGCCTATTATAGTGGTTTCCATCTTGTTTTCCATTAACCCTAGATGCACAAGTGAAATCCAGTCTTACAATTCGTACCTGCCACCCTCTCCGTGCGGTGCTTGCAGCACTGAGCCATAACTGCTGCCAAATGGCAGCGTCAGAGGCACGACGCCAAAAATGGTGGCCTGCCATACTTGCTACGGCAGGGATGCCTCAAACTATAATCCCCCTAAGGTAGATAGAATATGGCTTTGGGGTATTTTATAATAAGATCCCCATATACCCCATATTCTATCTACGTAAGGGGGACTATATACTATACGTTCTGCTTTAAGTGTCGCTGTGAAAGCCTACGAGTTTAGGGATCACAGGGGCACCGCTAGTTGATCAGGAGGCTTGTCAACATGCTTCAGCCTGCCTACTTCCAATGACGGGGGCGTGGGATTCATGTCAGCTACAGGGCTATAGTCTAAACTCCTAAAATCCCCCTTCATAACCCCCATAGTAGTCCCCTATGTAACCCCCTTTAAGGAGTTTCGACTATAGCTCATGTTCAGGATTTGGTGATGACAAGCTGTCTCACAAGTGTATTACATCAGCTTTGCAAACTTGCTGCTTCCAGCCTACCAGGCCCAAGTCTGAAGCCAATGTCTAAAGCCCCGTTACATAGGGGATTGTGTAGTGGACTACTATAGGGGGTATTAAGGGGGATACTAGGAGTTTTGACTATGGCTCATGTACACTGCATTTTTCTGTTTATGATAATTACTACTATTGTTACTGATCTTCTGTGTGTTTTTGACTGTTGTTACTTCTTTTCATTGCGCAAACCCATGAGGGCCTCATGCGGGTACAGGTGGTGCCAACACAACCCACAAATCACTGCAGGAAAGGTAGCAGTGCTGGGATTCTGTACTAGCTGCTATCCTTTTCGCTGGTGGGATTCCATGAAGACCCCAACCGAAATTTTCCCAAGTTCCCACTACATTCCCCCAAACTAACATGGAAACCCCACAAAAGCCCTATGAAGACTACTGTCCCTCTAAAATGGGGCTACATGGGTTTCCATGCTAGTTTGGGGGAGTGTATGTCTTGTGAATAATCGAGGGCATACTGGACATAATACAGGTTGTCACTCCACACCTGGGTTTAGGGTTTAGGGAGCTAGCTGTTGTAGCTGTACTGTCAATTTCGCTCAAGGCGTTGCACAAAACACTCTTAACCCCAAATCCTAAATGGTAGTTTCAACTTTTTTCCATTAGCCCAACATAAGCCGAATATGTGCCCTATAACCCCTACCAAGCCCATTCTAACAGTTTATTTTCCAATTATCCCAGTATAACCCCAATATAACTAAACCCTAAACCCTAACCCCAATATAACCCTTATATTACCCCAATGGGTACTGCAAGTCCCCAACGGCTTCCGTGGCGAACCGAGTTCCCGGCAAGCCCAGGAACATAAAGGATGACGAAGTGGCAACCAATCTGCGTGGTTTTAGAAGGTTTAGAGCTTGGGTTTAGGGTTGGGTTTGGGGTTTAGGCCTGTTTAGGCTGCGCAGTGCAATAGATTCAGCGGAAACTCAGGTCTGCTTGAACAGGATTTGTTGGACGACTCAACGGTGGCAACTGCGTGGCTGGAAGAAGGCTGCCGGATCTTCCAGAATCGTGGCATCAAATCAACAAAAACCTCTGCATGTCCTTTACGTTGCTAGCGGTAAGCGGGGAGTATGGAATCAGGGGATATACTGCCTAGATGACGCTTATGTAATACAGTCCCTTATTCCAGTACGTTAATCGGGAGGCCTCTGCCCCAGAACGCGGTGACTGCTGATTGCATGTGTAGCTTCACGGTTGGGTGGCTTCCCTAATTTAGGGATATATGCTTTTGTTTTTTAGGGGGTGGGATGGTGGGTCCCCATAATTTAGGATAATATCATTTTTGGCGTGTATATCCGGGTCCCAATGTCTATGGGAACTACCATTTGGGTAGAGATAAACCAAACTCTTTGAACAGGTGCCCAACAACAACCAACAGGGCTCACCGTTGCAGGTAGCTGGGCAAAGGTTGCTTCACACCTGCATGGCCCACAAATTCCCAGTTGCATGAGGACTCCTAACCATGACCATTACACAACCCTATACTCATGAACCCCCAAACAGCTTTTCCTGGTTCAAGGGTTTTTGGGGGGCTTTCATGGGAACTTTTAGGCGCTCAACCCTGGGAACCCTTAGGCCCAGGGACGGATATGCTGGCAGCCACGATGAGGTAGGGATTGGCCCAGGGCGGCATCTGCACCAGTGAGCCGTCCTGGCACGGGCAATTAAGGTTTAGGGCTTAGGATTTAAGATCTCCGCAGACCCCTCCCAAACCATGATATCGTGAGCTTTGTGGGGGAGGTAGAGAAATGAAGAGGAGTTCCAGGAATCTGCATGGGATTTTAGAGAGGTAGGAGTTTAGAGCTTTATGGCTCTGGGCTCAAACTGCTCGAAAACCTAATCAAAGGCTCACAAAATTCCACTACTACAGCTTCCTGGAAAATGCGAATGCTTGCGCATGCTGCATGCTATTCGTGCAAGTGGCCAAAACAAATTTGCCTGACGCTTGGAATACAGGCCCAAGGCATTGCAGAGAATCCTGCTGTGACTGGCCTACCACCTCATAACTAGGGCATGACTGCTAACCCTAAACCCTAAACCCAAGAGCTATCTTTAGAAAGCTGCTGTCTCAACAAAAACAAGACTCAACACGCCAGCAGGCGGATTTTCCACCTATTTTGTAACTGTATGCATCATGTGAGCTAAAGTCTAAACTCCTAGTATCCCCCTTAATAATCCCAATAGTAATCCCCTATATAATCCCCTATATAACCCCCTTTAATGAGTTTAGACTATGGCTCATGTAGATCCTTGGTTGAGAGCTACCGAGAAATCATCCTGGCCGGCCTCCGACAAGGCATTGAAGGCGTTGAGCATTTCAATGACAACCAAAACTGTCAAGGACAGCGTCGAAGCCTCCCAGGTTTCTAGGCTTTGTGCTAACAACAACATGCCATCAACACTTCACAGGCGAAGCAGATGATTTCATGCCATGCCTTCAGTCATTAAATTTGATACTCTGGAAGACCTTCAAGAACTACATAACTTGGCGAAGCACATGACGTGTAGAAAAGGGGCGAGTAGGTGCTCCACCTCATCAGAAAGACTCGATCAGATGCCTATCCTGTGCCTGTCCTACGGATGGCCCCTCTCATTTCAGAGAGATACATAATTAAATCATTGCAAGCACCTTTTTGATACACAGTCGCGCCCCCGACATCTTCAGGTGTCCCAACAAAACATCCTAAGCCTTGGATCATATGAGGGCTATGAGCCCTGGCCCCCTAGCATCAGACCCGTTTTTCGGAACGCAAAGCTCTGCCGAAGCAAGGGCCTTGACTTTGCCCTCTGTGAAGTACGAGCATGGATCGCTAGAGAAGCCTTGGGATGCGGGGCTGCGAAAGTTTTCGAAATTCTGCGTCCCTGGTGGGGACTCTTCCTGTGATAAGGTTGGATAAGGATCCCAACAATCTGAATGTTTGGGTACATTGCTGAAGCCCCTGCTTGAGAAAGCACCATATCTGCAGACTGGAATCCCTAAAAAAATTTTGCTTCAGCAAAGAGCCGACCGTCAGATCGCTCATCTTCCCGTGATGCAGCATCCCCACACCACATAGACATTAGTAGATTATTGTATATTATATTAGAATATCTAGCATATTATAGTAGATTATAATATGTTATACCCCCCCCCCACAGCCAATACACCTGCATCGACCTTGTCTCTTAGGCATTCTCAAGTCTTCCATTGTGTTTTGCTCTCTGGTACCAGACTAACCAGCAGGAACGGTGCAAATGGCCCACCAATCCTCCTACTGATCTGAGCTTAATCCCCCTAAACCCTAAACCCTAAACTCTCAACCCTAAACCCTGAACCCTAAACCCTAAACCCCAAACCCAGAAATGCATAAAACGAACAACCCGTAGCGTCTTTCAGGTTGATCATCCCTCCGCGTCTGCTTTTAAGCCTATAGTCCCCCTAAAGTAGATATAATATGAGTTTGGGTATATTCTAATAAGATCCCCATATACCCCATATTCCCCATATTCTATGAGTTTGGGTATATTCAAATAAGGTCCCCATATACCCCATGTTCCCCATATTCTATCCACTTAAGGGGGACTATTATTATTCAACGCCTGGAATCCACACTCTGCAGCCGCGCGGCTCATACCGTTCCAGTCGTTTACTCTAAAGTCCTGCGATGCTCTATGCTCAAAGCAACATGCTGAACTTGGGCTTCAGGGCGCTTAAGGCCAGGCAATACAGAATGGGCAATTGGGTATATGGGGGTAAAATAGGGATAATGGAAAAGACAATGGAAACTACTACATTATAGCAAGGTATGCATCTAGTGCAAAACTTCAAGTAAAGGGAAGGTTGCTTTCTCAAGGAGCTTTGCCAGTCTCTCTTCTAAACACGGCACCCCCTTGCAGTTTAGGGAGCGCGAACATGAAGCACGCCCTATCCACGGCTAAGCCCTTTGGAATCTCAGGACAGGCATAAACATGCATGAGCTAGATTTCTTAAAGAAAAAAACTTCTGTTGGGGAAGACTTGCCGGTGAGCACGTAGTCAAATGAAACCAGGAATGCTGACAGCAGAGGCATATCACATCAGTTCAAGCCACCAAGACCACTCACAAAGCAGTGGGTTGTCAAAAGCGTGGTAAGCTTTCATCCTAATGATGACACAAGGTGAACTCTACCCCAGGGACCTGCGGTGGCAAAAATACCTAGCTAAAACCCGAGCCTTTAGCTGAGCCTACATTTCCTTCAGCCTGTAACCCTGAACCTTTTGAGTTTCCGCTCGGGCTCCTTCCATTGCTGGCAGTTACCCCATGTCAGCAGCTGTTCTAAGTTGACCAAGCTGTGACCATCTGGATTCACATCCAAGATGAACCAGTACCTCGGGCGCCGCAAGTGCATCACACTGTTCGTATGGCTTGGACTCCTTTCGCCGTATTTGATTTTGCTACCTTTCTGGCTAGTTCACATTCCTATGGTCAATCCATCGTGGCCAGGAGCTTTACAGCAAAAGGCCCCCTGGCCGGAATCTGTGACATGGCTGCTTGGGATCTCTACAAGCATCTTCCAACCAGGCCTTCTCGTAGCAAATGCATCAGCGCGTCAGTGCACATGCAGCATAACAAAATGCTTGTGGCGTGAATCTGCGTGAGCACTTCAAAGCTGGATGGAGGCCACCATCCTCAACCAAGAGAAATGAAGAGTTAACCTGTGATTCCTCCTTCAGGTGCCTACTGTGAAACCAGTCCCAGCATTAAGTCTTCCCTTCACTTGCAGGCCCCACTCATCGAGGGAATCGTACATGTTAGGGAACTCCCTCTTGTTTGCGAGCCACATGAAGATGCCGACAACTGCGCAGCCGACGTACGCTCCAACCTGGGTGCGGCTGAAGCTGTGGAAGTGAACCTAAACTTCAGGAAGCAAAATGGAAGTTTCCATAAGAAATGGCCATATTGCCATGTGCATCTGCGTTGAAGGGGCTTTTCATAGCCTGTACCCTGAAGTAGCTCCTTCTGTACGACTTCAAACCGCAAAAAGCTACCGCCTGGCAGGGGGTATCGGCCATTACACCAAGTCCGCGAGTCCTGGCACATCCCAATCTATCAAAGGTCTTCTATATGGATCCTCTCTGTGTAATATAATATATGATATTCTCTTACAGAACAGCCTGGCGCATATACCCATTGCGCAATTGTCCTTTTTTCTGGGGTCCAGCCAAAAGCTCCAAATTCATAATCACAAAGTTCGTGGCGGCAACAAACTAAAAGACATTACTCAAGTGACCCAATAACCTAAATAGTATTTTCCATTTTCTTTTCCATTATTTCAATATAACCCCAACATACCTCTAAAATTACCCCCATGGGATTTTCCACCCTAGACCATAAGCTGAGGCAAGGGCCACAAAGTAGCGGACGTAGGACCACACGGAGATCAGAGCGTCGTCTTTCCTTCTGGGCGCCTTCTTCATCACCTCAAAACAGGAACTTCAAGAAGCCTTCGAAATCCTGGTACCACCAGGGTGGGTAAAAGTAAGCTAAGTAAACTTCGGGCTTCTGGGCGTTCCAAGCACTCAGCTGGGAATTGGGGAACGTCTCATCCTCTCTATCTTCTCATGCATGCCCAGGCAACAACTGTGTCTTGCCGCCTGATGATTCAGGGCTTTTGTGTGGATAGTCATGGCTCATAGCCCTAGGATGCCCATCATCATTCAATACTCAGCAGGTGCGCGAATAAACCAAGCTCACAAGGGCAAGCTCTACTGGTAATCTCACAAAAAGCAGCTTCAGGGAGCCATGGAGACAACCCGAAACCCTATAGTCCTCCTTAAGTAGATAGAATATGTGATATATGGGGATCTTATTACGGTTATGGTCAAATCCATATTCTATCTACTTAAAGACTTAAGGGGGACTATAACCGTGATTCCCAAAGCTCACCCCTTCAATCCAAGCGACGTCCAGGTCAGGTGGGTTGAAGCCCAGTGCGGTGGCCGGAGGGCCATCAGTGACCAGGTTGACCTTAGTGCCCCCCGTTAAGTAGATAGAATATGGGGTATACGGGGATCTTATCATAATACAGCCAAACGCCATATTCTATCTACTTAAGGGGGACTATACGTTGTTGCTTTGAAGCTTCACAATTTGGGACTCAGCAGGTGCGCTTTCGCGGCTTGCGGGCTCAGGGTTGGCGAGTTTTTGGTTAAAAAAACCTTCGCGCATCCAAGGAGTGCTTGACCGAGCGGAAGCGAGCTCGCAAAAATCCCGGCAAACTCACTGCAGCAGAATCCACTCTGTAACTTGCAGCCATTTCCTATCTGAATCAATAAAAAAAATTCGAAAACCCACGCGCAAGGCCAAACTAACTCATGCTCATGTTGAGTCTTCTAAGTAAACTGGAAAGCCGCTTCTCACACAACTGCTGGGCTAATGTAGGCAAATCTTCAGATCTTGAAAGTCGTATTGTTTACTATCAACCCTGAAGCTCCAAAGCCTCAAAGCCAAAACCAGCTCCAGACCCGCTGCAACCTCATAGTCCCCCTTAAGTGGGTAGAATATGGCTTTGGGTATATCATAATAAGATCCCCAAGTCCCCCATATTCTATCTACCTAAGGGGGACTATAGACCCAAAGTAACCCCTCTCAGACTGCTGTAAAGGAGCCCACAGGAGCTGAACAGGTGTGAGGCCCTCGGGCACTCCCAGAGCCGCAGTAATGAAAATTGCTGCCACCTCAGCTGGACTCTGTGACAAAGAGGGTTTAGCGGCTTTGGTAGTGCAGCTTCAGGTCATGTGGAGAACACAGGGTCTTTGGTTGAATGGGGTTCAGGGTAGTTTTTTAGCCAAGTAAGGATGTTATGAACTTAGTTTGGATCAGTTACTCCTCCCCCTCAAACTCCGCTGGGCCCCGGAATGCTTGCGCCAAGGGACCTCTCCAACGTTGGAGGAAATCATGTACCGGATAAAGGCCTGGCAGCAACAGAGTGGGACAGAATTCTGGGAGGGCTTGGTCTGGAATCCGAGGCCTATGCTCTGAACTCTGAACCCCTAAGAGAATCTGAACAGCTTGGCGGAACCGATTGAGCAAGGTTCAAGGTTTATTTGGCAAGGTTGTAAGTAGCCTTGGGTCGCAAAAGGCTTGTGGCTTTCTTTAGGTTGGGTACAATCCTTTAACCAAGGGAATAATGAGGAATAATGGAAAAGAAAATGGAAACTACTATAATAGGGTTTAGGGATTTAGGGCAACCTAACTGGCTTTTTTGAGCCGGCCTTCATGTTGTTGTAGATCGAGCGGCCCTCCTCGACGGCTGCCACGATGCTGGTGAAGTTGTCATCTGCCTCGCACGAAGAAGAGGTCTTAATTGGGGCTCCTGCCCTTGTAACCCCTATATAATCCCAGCTTCCATTTCATTTTCCATTTTCTTTTCCATTCGATTCTCCATTATTGGGGCAATATTTTCCTAATTGGGGCTCCTGCCCTCAAGGGGCTTTTGACTTTGACACCCACTCCGGTCAGGCTTGGAGTTGCTACGGCAGCCTGAACAATACAACACAGTTGGTTTTCTTGTTGACACCCAGAACACCGAATACAAAAAGCTTCAGGAAGGCCGCTCTAGCTCTCCGCTGTCTTCAAGTCATTGCAAACAGAACAGATGAGAGGTCCCTTCCCAAGACACCATGAAAACCTTCGCTCCGTAGGCCCATCTCTGTATATACATCCCATTCCCCGTCACACCACCCCTCACCACAAAATGACTTCACCAAAAACAAGTCCCAGCTAAAAGCAAATCCTGCTGTAGTGTCCCAGATAATCAAGTCCGGGCAAGTCTGCTTCAGGGCCCCTGCACAAACACATGTTGCTTACTGGTGGTTAGTAGGGAAGAAGGGAATAATATATCATATGGGGATTATATATGGAGTATTTTCCCTTATTCGCTACTAACCATCGGTAAAGTTATGAATCCCTGAGCCCGGCCAGAACCATGTCGGACGCTTCCTTGGCTACCTCCGTACCTGTTGCGGCAGTGTTCTTGCTGGAGCTTTGTTGAGGATGAGAACGGACCTCATGGAGTCTACATTGCAGCTGGCGTATTTAGCCTTCAGGGACTTCAACTTGGGGCTTATCAGCGTCATTGTAAGCATGCAGTGGTAAAAGCCATGGAAGGAAGAAACAAAGCGGATCCTGATGCCGTGATGAGAAACGGAACAAGACTAAACCGTCGCAGCACATGCAATCCACAAGTTTTAACCTGAAAAAAGCAGTGCCGACTGCTTGAAAAAAACAAGCACGGAACTTAATTAAGCCGCCCTCGTCTTTCACAAGCAGTCCAACCAATCTCCGTTCTTATCACGCTCTTGAGAACTTCATTTTCGGTTTCAGGGCAGCGGCTGCTGAGCTGAAGTTTGAGGAGGTGGAAAGACCATTCAGGTACACACCCAAAGGCCCTGTCTAGACCCCTACGAAATTCCACAAAACTACGGAGTTTTCCATAGTACCCCCTTTATACTCTCCGAAAAGGACCCACCAAATCCCCTCATAATCCCTATGTATCCCTAGCCATGCTCCCAGGCCTGCTATGCCCATTGCGATGCCGATGTCGGCCTGACGGTTGCCCGGCAAGGCACGGCGAACAAAATGAAACTTCTGGGCCATGTCTACAGTAGTTGCCATAAATAAGGAACCCCAAATAGATCCCAGTGTACCATAGTAGCATTACAGAGTCCACCTCGGCGTGGTCTAAATCACTGTGTTGATCTGAGAGCCCAGGCCCCACCTGTTTCAGGGCTGGCGCGTCATTGACACCATCGCCCGTCATGGCGGCAATCTCATCCAGCGACTTCAGAATTTTGACCTGTGTCACCGGGAGCAATCTACATTATGGCAGGCTTAGGCTGTGTCCCTTCAGCCACAGGACTGCACTTTCACGAGGAATCTGTATCCCAGTCTATTTCATATGCCACATGGGCGCTTCATTGCAAGTGGCCGTGCACATCCGCGCAACTAATCCGAGCTCATGAAGCAAGCCATGCTAGTGACTCTCTCTAACTCCACCTCCGCAAAAGATGCTCTGAGACCGGACGGCCCTGAAACATGAACAAAGGCCCCAAGCCCTAAAGCCTTAAAGAGGTAGCACCGTGGAAAATTTTTTTTCCCCGTAGCTTTGGAGCCCAAAAATTCCTCGCTGGACTCCCTGGAAGGCTTTCAGTCTCGACAGCTTCTCACCACGCCTTTTCTAGGCTAATGCGTTAGAGTAAGATAACGTACCTGAATGTTAGGAATCAACAATGCTACCAGTAGAACGCAATGCAACTTCGAAGTTTTGAGTCATGTTGAGCCATACGGCTTCTAAAAGAATCATGAGAAGTGCGGCAGCTCTAGAAAGATTCTGTCTGATCAGCCCCCCGGAACCAGCAAGTACTCGATTGGGGGATGATTATTTATTTACGCTCATGTCTACAAGCTCTACAGGGTGTCCTTAACATGTCTGAAAAGCCTGGTGCCCTGAACTCCGCACCGCCAAGCCCAAGATTCTGCCACCGACATCCCACCGAACATCCAACTCTTAAAGCGCAAGCAAAGTGGCTATGAGCTGCTTGTGCTTGGGCTCTGTGCCTTGACTGCTCCCAAGCAACCGTCTAAAAGGACATGGGAAGCATGTTCTTGTCTTCTCCAACTCACACCGTGGAACCCACAGACATTTGAGTGTGGGCCACCCTCTTGTTGCCGTGCACCTCCACACCCCCTTTGTTACAGACCTCTGTTGCGGCCCTTCGTTTGTAACGCTGCGTGCCTCTGGGGAAAGTACTGTAAAGCAAACGAACTTAGGGGTTTGTTGCGGGATCAGTCTTTCTGCCATCGCTTCCATTTAGACGGCTGCCTTTTGAGGGACGAGTAGTTGCCGTAGCTGGCAACAAAAGTTCTTGGAACATTTTACTATTGATGGAGCCCCACTGATACCCCATATTCATGTGCGACCCAGCTAGTCAGGTATTTGAAGGACTGCATCTGGGGGCCCATAATGGTCTTGCAAACATACAATGAGAGAAATACTGTTCAGGTATTCATAACTTGAGACCACCTGGATGAGTTGTTCAAAGCAGGAACCTTCCAAACTTCATTGCCGTCATCCAGAACATCAGGCTTTGCGTGTCTTGACTCGTTTCTGCTCAAGACATTGGCACCATCCCGTAACAAAACGTCGCCACTTTCAGCCTTTGGCTGCAATCATAGCAGGAGTCTTCACTGCCCAGGCGGGGTATGCCAGCACGCATTGATGCTTTGTGTGCGAGGATCCCTCACTAGTGCTTCCCCATCGTGGTTTCAATGGGACCTCATGGCGCATGGTAGCCAAACATTGCAATGATGTTCAAGCCAAGGGACGCGAGAAGACCGCGCCCTCAATATCTCTGCGCTCCATAATCTTTCGGAGCACCTGTATAGGTGGGCAGACAATGAGCTAGAACGGTAAGAAGGGGTCTCTTGAAACGGACGTTTTTCGAGAGCTTGTGCTTCGGAGGTATGTAACACGATCTTAATTTTGGGACGACACGCTGCGATCAGAAAAGCCTGCACGCTGCACCTAGCTGATATTAACGGAACATGTGACCAAGTTGGCTATATATCATATTTAGGCTCTGTCACAGCCGGAGACAGTGGCTTCTGCCAAAGACAGACGTAATTCTTAACACCCAACGCCCCAAGGCCCCGTGCTAAACAAAACAAAGGTTAAACCAGCTTTCATGACTCACTGGTGGGCTAGTAGGGAATACGGGAATACAATCCCTACATAATCTCCATATAACATATTCCCGTATTCCCTTTTAACTCCCAGTAATCCCCATATAAGATAATTTCTATTAATTCCTTATTCCCTTTTAACTCCCAGTAACATGCTTCAGGCGTTCCGGCCTCCACCTTGCGCTCGTCTGATAGCAGCTCAAATTCCTGCACAAGCTGAAGCATTTGTGGCTCGGACTGCGGAAGGGAAGAGAACACAGTCACTGCCTATTTCTGTCCAAGGTCTCTGACAAACCTTTTTCTCTCATGCAATACGTAGAACAACTCCCCCCAAACCCTAGACGCATACGCCCTTGAATGCCAAACCCAAAGCTCCAACCACCGAGAAAAATGCTCAACGCGTGTCTTCTTAACCCAACAAAAATCGACACCAAACCCTACAAAGCCGCTTGGCCCCTGAAAGAGCGAAACAAACCCACGCCCATCCTTAGAATCATTTGATCCCCTCCCCTAACGTTAACCCACCCCCAATATTAAATGCGCCCTTTGTGGTATGTTGGAATATGTTGGGAACATATCATATTAGGGCCTTATGAGGGTGTTGGGGAATCTGATTTAGGGGGAGGAGATTAAGATACAAAGCTATAGGAACCAAGCAAAGGGGCCCCGCCTGGCCGGTGAAGGAGTTCTCCTTGTGGCCGCCCGAAGGAGCAAGGATACCCAACTTCTGGGAAATCGCCTGCAAGGGGCTTCTTTGGGGGTTCCATGGCTTTTCAGGGCACTGGACTTTGACATGGGGAGGGGAGGGTTCAGGGTTTAGGGGACTTTAGGATTTGCAAGTGACACCTGTTTTGGATCCTTGGTGCCACGCTTCCCAGTTCAAGCATGCAGGATGATATGTGATATGTCAGATGCCTTGCCACCCTGTATTCTAGATAAGCAGCCCGCACAACACAGGAGTCAGTGAGAGGTTTTAGAAGGAAAGGAAGACAAATTATCATACTCTTGGCTTCACCTGAGGTGTACCTTTCCAGCCTCTCTCAGCCTCTCTGTTCGCACCCGCAACATTCAGGAGATATGTTCTTGAGCTCTCAAACGCGGTCTTACTTTTTGTAACCCAGGTTTGAGCTGCCTGCCGGATGCTGCACAAGTCGCAGCAATGATACAAAGTATGCGAAGCAAACAACTTACTATCTCCCTTCTTGAGGACGATGCTAAGGATTTTTCATTTTTTGAAAAGGATGTGGCACAAGCCTTTCCTCAATCGGACTTTGAATAATCGGTTGCCTCGGCTGTCGTCTTGTTGTCGCCCGTGATCATGATCACCTCAGAGAAGCTTACCTATCAGGAGCCCAAGTAATGATGGAATACCGATCATAAACCTGGGTACATCTTGGGCTCATACAGCCTAAAAAAATGGTACTATCTTCTATATGAAGCATGATTTGGAGTCAATTCCTTGTGATTTGCCCAGGGGTGCAGCAGATGCCTATCAAAGGATGAGCTGCAACATGCCCGAAGAAAAACTCGCCTTGGAAAAAATCTGCATCCTTTAGCATGATAAGATGTTCCTTATGAAGGCTACTGAGTCAGAAATGGGACCATGGTTGAGATTTCCGACGCCAATCACCTTATTATGAGCCGGCAATCATTGTCAACATAACGGATTCTTCAAGGCTTCTGACTTCTGCACAATTCCAAAGGGCGCCCAAGTAATACATCAGAATCCGCCTAATAAATGTATATCTCAAGGTGCATATTTGTTTTAGCGGGTGAGGGGGTGCGCATTAGCCCTGAATGCTAACCCTGAAGAAGATCATAGCTTCCATTTTCTCTTCCATTCCTGTATATTACCTTTAGGTTTCCGAGTGTCGAACAGGCCATGGTCTTTCGCAATTGATTCTCCATTATTGGTAATGCAATATCCTTACACAATCCCAATATAACCCCTAACCCCTCTATAACCCTCTCCTAAAACCCAATATGTCCCTTCCTTCAAGCTCCGCATGCTCTCATCCCCTGAGCTCTGGACGCTGATGCCTGCAATACGGCAGGCCTGGCTCAAAATGGAGCTACAGATGCTGACAGTAACAAACAAGTCTTGTTACGTACTAGTATCACTAGTATTGCTGACATGTACTATTAATACTACCAGTACTGTTGTTGCTATCCCTACTCCTGTTCTTACTATTGCTTTTGCTACAGTTAAGAGATGCCAGACAGCAGGCCACTGTGACACGCGCTCCCACGAAACAAAAGACATCACCAAGCAACAAACATCAGCAAACAGTTTCTTGAAGAAGTGCACGGCTTGGCTACACAGAGCTTTGTGAAGCATGTGCAAACTCACATCCCCCTCAATCAACCTGAACAACTGAACAACGGCCTCAGGGTTATCTCTGTAGGCAGCAGGTGCATCAGGCTTTTCTCTTGAGCGAGCAGCATGGTATGGTTCTGCTCGAGCGTTAGTTACCGGACCAAGAGGGGGTCGAAATTAGATGACACGTGCCTGTTGCAAGGCATGGCCACTGTCTATGAAGTCCGGGCCCTCACCCCACAACTCAACATCTCAAAGCCCGAACAACATGCGCAGTAACATCTCAAGCACCTGCACGAGATACTTGACTCCTACGATACGTAGTCAGTAGGGTCGCCTCAATCGCTGGGCTGCACTCCGGTCGGGGAGGGTCCAGGATGCCAACCATGCCCACGAAGGTCATGTCCTTGGATGACGCGCGCACCAAAAAGCGCTAGCGTGATGCTGATCGTGGTGTACCCGGTAGCCTTGGGTTGGAGGATAGAAAGGTTCAAGTCAGAGCAACTCTGTGCACAGCAGTGACATGCGTCTTGGTTTGCTGGCATGTGCTTACTGGGTTCGGGTACCGACCTCAACTATGGCTTAGGCTTTCGTCGCACGCCTTCGCAGTACAACAACTAGCGATCTGCTTCGGGATGCAAGGGGCCCTCAGATTGAGCCATCAGGCACGTCTAGTTGCGTCCACTGGGGCATACAAGCATGGTTTCTGGCTTGAGCTGAACAGTAACAGCTTCTGGAAACAGGATGTCTCCACCCTGAAG